CCGAGCCGCCACTCGACGCTGGGTCGCCGGCGCGCGGGCTCAGGGCGCTGACACAGGACCGCTCGACGGCGGCGCGCTCACCCACTGGGGAGCGCGCGCTCCGGTGAGGGGACCCACGGCATAGCCGCACTATTCTTCTCCAACGTCTGTTGCACTGAGGAGAAAGGGGAGGAGCTAGGGTTTAGGGAAGAGCCCCACCACAGCGCGTATGGGGAATAGGGCACCGACGCCTAGACCGCTCGATGGCGACGCACTCAGCCTAGGGCTAGCGCGCGCCGACGATGGGACCGGCGGCGCCGCCGCTCCGCTGCTCTCGCTTTTTCGCCGCGGTGTGGAGAGGAGAGGGAGCGAAAAAGAGAAATAACTTAGGGTTTGGGTGAACCGGCCGCGGCGACGTTTTGATCTCACGAGGACCGCGAATGGCCGTCCGATGCGATCCAACGGCCGGCGTCGCTCGGGCCAGAATCAGCCCATGCGGGCGAGCGAATTCCCGGTCCAGGCCCAGGTTGCGGCCTGAGCGCGGGGGAGCGGGCGTGCGCGCCGTGTTGAGCCACCGCTGGGCCGCGCGCGCGGACGCGAAACAGATTGGGCCGCGTACTATTCCGACAGGCCAGGCTAAATGAATAGTAGACACTGAGTTTTTTGTTTATTATTTTTAAAAGCAAATTTTGATGATTTTTTTGTCCTGTTTCAATCTCTGTCCAAATTTGAACCAACGGGGAAAATTTTTCAGGAAGTAGATCAGTACAGTAAAATGCTTCTAAAAAGTAGATAAACAATTTTTTATTTCATGTTTTCGCTGCAAAGTTTAATGTTGATTATCTTCTAATTAAATTCAAACCAACGGAAGAATTTAATTTGAAGAGTGGTTAGTTTTAGTAAATTATGATTTTGTTTATCGTCTAATTAAATTGGAATCAACGGGAAAATTTAAATTAGAGGAGTAGTCCGATTTGTTTATGTCAAATTATGATATTGTTGTTTTCTAACCAACGTTGATGATAACATATTATTTTGAGTTTAAGGTTGAAGTTTAAATCTCTGATAAATTTTACACCAATATGGTCAATTTTTCAGAAAGTAGATAAAAACCAAAAAATACTCAATGTATTTTATTATCGTGTTTCACTGCAATGATGTTGATTATCTTCTAATTAAATTTGAACCAACGGAAGAATTTAATTTTGAAGAGTAATTATATGTCTTTCAAATTAATTTATAAGTTTTATGCATTAATTCTATTTTCTGCCCAACGGTGATATAGAATTGATGCAGAAGCATCTTATAAGTTTTATTTTTTAACCGACGAGATCACTCGGTTGCATGCCAACGGGCTGCAATGCTGGGGTATGTGAATGAAAAGACTTGAGTCAAGCCAGTTCAGAATAATTTTATGTTAGTTTACTAATTTTTTTATTAAATTGGAACCAACGGGAATATTTAATTAGAAAATAAAGTATAAGTGAATGTTTTAGTCATCATGACAAAATTTTTTGTTACGATAATTTGTATATAGATTTATCCCGCATGGGGAGGAGTTTGGCATAGTACTTATGTTAGTCAATACTGCATGGCGGGGGAAGTCTTGTGATGACTCATATGTTTTTGTATCCCGCATAACGAGAGAAGTTTGGGTAGCTCTTATGCTATCCTAGTATTGACTATGGCGCAATAAAAATACACAGTCATGGTCAATACTAATCAAAGGACAAGAAAAGGATGCAACCGTGACTTATAAAAGTACAGTTAATAAAAGACATCGTCGACTTCTTGAAGTGGAATGAGAAAAGTGTACTCCTATATGGATGAAGAAATAACTTTATTTATATGGCATAATCATGTGAATGAAGTAAGTTATAAGTGTCTCTTCGTTCACAGTTTTCTAAATAGTTCTTAAAATTATGGCAGTATAGTTCATGCCATATTTTAAAGGTGAGAATTGTGAGATGAATTAAGAGTAAGAATTAAGTTCAATTAAGAAACTACTCTTTATTAAGAGTGAGATAAAGATGTTGATGAATGTGTACTCTTCATTAAGAGTGATACAGATTTTGTAAGAAACTGTGTGAGATAAAGATTTTGATGAATGTGACCGTCGATCGTAACAATGATACCCCTAAGCAGAGAAACAGCCAAATTCCTGGATTTTTTAAGTTCCAAGAGGAAGATAGCGTAGGCACCATCAAAGGTATTAAAGCGATGCTTAAAGCGCCATATAAGGTTTTAACAGATTGAACCCAAATAAGAAATTAGAAGATACACTATCTTTATAAAAGATTGGACAATCTGGGGGAGTACGGTATGTAGAGACCTATGACTTGAAGACAAGGGGGACTGCATGCCCACTTCAGTGATTCAAAACAACGAATTTTTCGATACTTGTTGATGTTGTATGACTTGTACAACACCTGTTGTTGGCTCTTCGAAGAAGATGAATAATGTAAACAAGGATCTTGTGATACAGGGGCCTGTAGAATTAATTGCCTCTTGGCAATGAAGAGCAACAATAGCCTCACATGAAAGTGCCTGTAGTTGAGGCCCCAGAAGATCTTAAAGAATTAGTAAACCAGTTTTCTGATGACTATGAAGTCTATATTAGTGAAAATTTTCAAATGGAGGGTGATCCCACCTCATTTGAAGAAGGCATGAGAAACGTTTACTCGTTTGAATGGCAAAAAGCTATGGAAGTTGAAATGAATTTGATGAATACCAACGATGTTTGGGACTTAGAAGAAATTACTAATGGAGCCAAAATAGTAGACTATGAAAGGGTCTCCAAGACAAAATGTGACTCCAAAAATAATGTGAAAAGATATAAAGCATGACTTATAGTAAAAGGCTTTACGCAAAGAGAATGAATAGATTACGATGAGAGTTTTCTCTACAGTCTCATGTAAAAATTATTTTAGAATCATAGTGGTGTTATTGGCACCTTACGATTTAGAGTTACATCAGACGGATGTAAAGACGACATTCCTCAACGGGAATTTGTATGAAAACGTTTACATGGCACAACCCAAAGGTTTTGTTGTGGAAGAAAAAGAATGTATGGGATGTCGCCTATAGAAATCCATTTATGGGTTAAAACAAGTCTCTAGACAGTAGTATTTGAAGTCGATGAAATGATAAGAAAGTTTGGGTTTAAAGAAAATGAGAAGGATAATAGCGTTTATGCGAAGTTCAAGAATGGAAAATTCTTTTTTCACATCCTGTGTATAGATGACATCCTACTCACTAATAGTAATGTTAATTTGCCATTGGAGAAGAAGAAGTCTTTGTCCTCAAGTTTTAATGTGAATGATCTTGGTGAAACCTCATTGGTTATAGGAATTAAAATTCATCGAGATAAATGAAAATGGATATTAGGATTATCGTAAAAGCATACTTAGAAAAGATTATAAAGAAATAAAGTATGCACGCGAGTAAACCTATGCCTGCTTCTATAGTCAAGGGTAATAGATTTGGAAACTTTCAGTGTTTCAGAAACCGATATGAGATCGATCAAATGAACATAGTTCCATATGCTTCAGCTGTTGGAAGCTTAATGAATGTACAAATAAGAACTTACCCTGACGTAGCTTACGTATCCGCGATATTTTGGCAGAAGTTCAGTCCAGATATAGATCACTGGAATAGAGTTAAGAATGTCTTGCAATTTTTGCAATGTATCATAGGTCTCATGCTGAGTAAGAAAGAACAAGTACTCTCAAATAGTTGTGGGTACAAATGTTAAGTTTTGACGAGATATGTAGTAAAATCCACAGTAGTTGCTAACACTCGCAGTTGGAGTATTATTATGGAAAATCTCCAATAAAACAGTTGTGGTGTCATCAATGATGCATGCCATAGTATAGCTTGTCATGGGGCCTCAGGAACACGCAAAAGTGGTTAAGAGAATATGTGCCCGGATTTAACAATGGTAGTCAAGAGCAATAACCATTTAAAGTAGTTAACTCCTAAGACAACAGATCAAGTGTGCTGCCAAACACATTGACATTAAGTTATATGTTGTAAAGGAGAAAATCCAAAATCATTTTAAAAGCATTGAGCATATAAGTACCAAGAAAGTACTTGCGGATTCGCTTACCAAAGGCTAACCACCCAGTGCGTTCAGAGAATACACAGTCGACATAGGTTTACGAAAAAGCCTATGATTTTTTGATACTAAGGGCCTAGTTGAGAATCTGTTTCAAAACAGAAAGGTGCATTGTAGCTGTTTAATCTCATGGCAACTGACCGTGACAATGAGACGCGCTCTATGCACTGATCTGCGATGGAATGAGAAAAAGATAAAGTAAGTTAAGTTTAAGTTATAAGGTGAGATCAAGAGAGAGAATGTTAGACTGATCTTCATCAGTTGGCCCAACGGTCAATTGGGTCATTGATCCGTGCCCTGATCGGGGACGCCCAGCCGTTCTTCTGGCTGATAGACCTCCGTCGCGTAGCGCTATAAAAAAAAGGTGAGGGACCAAGGCGCAACGTACGAGGGTCACCTCAGCCACCAGCGCCCCACCGACGTTCTAGCCCTAGACCGATCGATAGGATGTGCTGTGAGCAATGAAAAACGTCGCCTTCGCCGCCGCCACTGGGCCGCGCCTCCACGTCCCTGCTACCTCATCGGCGACGCTATGGCCACAACTGCCTCTCGATGAGATACTTAACAAGATATTGTCTAGTCAAATTCTACCCACTGATTTACACCTACAAAGTCCATCAGAAAGGAGGAAACCACCCAAGCGGACGGACGGCATGGAACGGAAGTGGGAAGCGTCAAAGCAACAATGTTTTTTGCGTTCTGTTTTGGCACACCACGACCTGACCCAAATTCTAGCTAAAAAGTAGTAGTAGAGTAGTATAAGCAAACGGAACGGAAGGAACAATTGTTGCGCAATCGTTGGACGGACCGGACGGAACGCTGCAATGCAACGGCCACTGCCGCGGAACAAACCGACACGACACGGCGAGCTGGATGGAGGAAAGCTTGGGCCGGGGACGCCGCCTCAGGGCTTCCAGAGGATGGTGGTGTCGGCGATCATGGAGGTCACCACGTAGGGGTCCATGTTGGACGCCGGCCGGCGGTCCTCGAAGTAGCCCTTGCCGTTCTGCTCTGTCTCCCGGCCCACGCGCACCGACGCGCCACGGTTGGCCACTCCCTTCACGACACAAACACAAACAGCAGTTGGCACACGGATTTTGCTGATTCGCCACGATGCCGCAGCAGCAGAATTGGAAGGAATGAGGGACGTACCCAGCTGAAGGTGTTGATGTCGGCGGTCTCGTGCCTGCCGGTGAGCCGGCGCTCGTTGCCCTCGCCGTAGGCCGCGATGTGCTCCTTGTGCCGCAGCTTCAGCTTCTCAATGGCAGCCTTGATCACCTCGTACCCGCCCTCGTTCCTCATGGACTTGGTGCTGTAGTTGGTGTGAGCGCCGGCGCCGTTCCAGTCACCAGGGATGGGCTTCGGGTCGAATGTCAACACCACACCGGCGATCTCGGTGATCCTCTGTAAACAAAGGAGCACAGATTATTATACCACATAAGTGTTGCAAATCATGCTTGGTTAAGATGGCACTATATTTGATCATAGTATACATATAGAGCTGAGAAGATGTGATGCCATACCTCAAGAATGTAGCGAGCAACCCAAACCTGATCGCCCGAAGAAATGCCGACAGACGGTCCAACTTGGAATTCCCACTAAAACCAACCACAATGTTTGCCATGGTCAGAAATATGGTAGCTTCAGGGTTACAAAAGAAGTTTGTAGTAGTAGTATCTCACCTGCCCTGGCATGACCTCTCCGTTGATGCCACTGATGTTGATGCCTGCATACAGGCAAGCCTTGTAGTGGGCATCAACTATGTCACGGCCGAATGATTTGTCCGCACCGATTCCACAGTAGTAAGGACCCTAAACACGGACAGTGGACATCATTTAGGCGACACTTAACAAATGTAGGACCGATTTTGAAGCAAGTCTTAAAGCAAGCAAATTAGTGAAGCCATCGTGTGTGTACCTGAGGGCCAGGGAAGCCACCAATAGGCCACCCAAGGGGCCAGTTGGTGTCCTTCTGAAGGAGGGTGTACTCCTGCTCAATACCATACCTACCATTTTGCAAGGAGAATCATGGTCACTCATAGAAAGAAAGATAGATCGTTTCAGCTTCCATCACAAATATCTGGGGAGAGATTTGCATACCAGGGCTCCTCAGCAGCGACCTCAGGGTTGCTGAAGATCTTGGCAGCGTTGTACCTCTTGTTGGTTGGAATTGGCTCGCCAGCTGGGGTGTAGCAATCGCACATGACCTGCAGGTCAAATGAATTCATTGAAAACCTAAGAGTGGTCCCTATTATTAGACAAGTTGATGAAACGATCAATTGGATTCCTAAACCATGGTTTGGTGCACTGGATGGTCACACCTAATTACAAAAATAAATATCTATATAAGCTCATAACACCGATGTCATCGTGCTATACAATTTGCAATATTGCATATAACTGAACAAAGATCCATCAGGGTAGAGAAATTGCATCAGGAACCATTAGTGCTGCATCAAAACAAATCTAATTTATTTATACGGTGCATACAACTTTTAGTTTACTTGATGAAACAAGACAGTTTTTTTCCCACAAAGATGAACTGATCCGAGTTGGACCAATGAACTGTACACACAGAAACGTGTGGTTCATGTCACTTGTGCATGATAAAAGTGGAAACTTACAAGGATGTTGTTGCCCCTCCTGAATGGGTCCTTGAAGATAGCCTGCGGGCTGCAGGGTGGCACATGCCCAAGAGATAAGGATCGTTCCATGTTTGCTAGTAAAACAAACAAACAAACAAAAGAATGCATCCAAGCTTGGCATGCCATGACACTTACTACAGGATGACCTCACTGTCCTCGCCGGGGGCCTGGCCGGTGCTGGAGCCGTCGTAGTTCCACTTGGGCAGCTTGCTGGGATCGGTCACCGGGCCGGAGAGGGTCTGCACCAGCACCAACCAGATCAGTATGATTTTACGAAGTAGAAGAAAAAAAATCAATTGCAGTGGTAGTGGTGAGCAGAGCTCTGGTACATAAGCCAGGTGACTTCAGAGATAAGTGATAAGTGACGAGGCACCACAAACAGTATCCCGGGGTACCCTCCCCTCCGGCCCTCCTAGTGCTGGGAACCTTTTTATCTTATTCTCCAACGGGTGACCCGTAAGGGCATCAAACTTAAAATGCATCTCCGACAGGATCTCCGACAGTACATATCGGTAATAGAGTATCTGTATATAAACTTATTTTACGTGCCAGGAAAATTACAGCCTAAATCTGAATATCGTCTCTCTCCTCGAAGGATCTTCTGCTGGAGAAGATAGAAATGGGTATCGAAACATTTCCATGTAGCACTGTCAAATAGGATATGGATATTGTATTTTAGATTCCCATTGTTGGAGGTAGTCTTACCCTGGCTTTGCTCCTGAGATCCATGCCAGATCCACCGATCCTGCAACCCAAAAAAAAAAGGCATGCATTAGGATGGGATCAAATCGCCTAACAGACTGAACAACTGCTCGCCATATTCCTCGGAGCAGAGCAATCCAAGACGTGTTTGTAACAACAGAAACTTGCATCTTTTTTTTTTTTGAATGTCAAACTTGCATCTTTTGAGTACTAATACTGGCACCAGGGGGATCAATTAACGCGTAAGACATGAGATTAGGTCTTTCAGCCAACAGATTCATCTGGCGGTGGCCAGTGATACAGTAATAGCACTGTATGAGCGGTGCGGGACCCGGTGAACAGAGAGCCAGAGACGACTGCCGCTGGGGAGATCCTCCCGCAGCAGGACAGACAAAAGGGTACTGCGCATCTCTCCAGCTCTCTCGAAGCATATCCGAAACTGAAGCCAAATATTCATGGTCATGGGCGAATAAACGAGCCAAAATAACAGATTTTTACTTGATGAAGAAGAATCAACAAATAAAGCCAGCCTCTCCGCTTGTGATGATCACCAAAATAAAACAAGAGATGCGGCACGGCATGAGGCAGTCTCCCAAAACCCCTCTCCAAATCCCGTTCCCGGACGGGGAAACGCCATGAGAAGGCGGCCGGGCACCAAGCATCAAGATCGATTCTTTCTGACTAGCGAGGCAGAGAGAGAGAGAGAGAGAGAGCGTTGCGTGCAGATTAATAACAGGGGAAACGCGCGCCGTACCATATGTACTCTGCGATGATCTTCTCGGTGGTGTCCGAGAGGCTGAGGTTGACGAGGTCGGTGAGGGAGGCCATGGCCGGCGGCGGCTCCGGTGCGACGGGCAGGCACACGGGTTGGGAAGGACCCAAGGAGGAAGATGAGGAGGAGGTGGTGTGGGATGAAGGCGGCTATATATTGGCGACGACCAAGGACAGATGGGAAACAAGTTGCCGTCCAGCCGGCTCGCCCTCTGAGAGTTTGATCCCAGTAAAATACGTATACATATACGCTTTACACGTACAAATACCACGGTAATAAAGGATTTTTTTACAGCACGGTAATATAGGATTAGTACTACCTTTGGAGTTCCGCGTATATATCATATATTCGGTTAATTTTCTCGACGCGGTAGGTGCCAGAAGAGGACCACAGCGTACCGGGCAGGCGTCCAGCCCCACGTCTGACATGCGGGACCTGCCTGTTAGAGGCCACCTGTCAGTTAGATGTGGACTCAGACGTGGAGCGGTTGGCGTGGGAAAATATTGAATTCGGAGACGCAGCTTTGTCGCTAGAAGTCGTTGATTTGATTTAAGCCCTCTCCACCGGCCCTCATCCAAAACGGTTTCACTGATAAAATCAAAGTCGATGAAGCCAAAAAAACTGGTTTTTTCTGATTTCTAGTTTATTTTAATTCTAACTTATAAAACAGTTTCACGCTACAGTATCTCGATTTGCACAAAATAGATGAAGCTGAAGCTGGCATAGTCCGTGCCAAAAAGGCCCTTGATAGAGCCCCGAGCATAGCGGGGTGTAAAAAAAAATTTGGAAACTTTTCCGATGTCAGGAGATATAAAGTCCACAAAGGGACAGCAATTTGATTTTAAAATGTTTTTGGATTCAATCATGCTCCTACCGAAAGCCATCTCATCGGCACGGCACCAGCTTTTTTACCTGTACATACGGACCTACTCCTACTACCAAATGGGACTGAAGATTCGAGGTATCTTCCTGGGCCCAGGGATCTCCTACCCCAGCTGGAAGTCGCACACAGTGCTTTAGGCCTGGTTTAATTTCTTTCTAAAGTTTACTACTTATCCCATCGAATATTGGACATATGCATAAAGTATTAAATATAAATTAAAAATAACTGATTACACAGTTTGCGACTAATTTGCGAGACGAATCTTTTAAGTCTGATTAGTCCAAGATTCGACAATGTGCGCTACAATAATACATGTGTTAATGACGGATTAATTAGACTTAACTAGTATAGTGCCCGTGCTAACGCTACGGTAACATTTAAGACAACACATATTAACCACCAAAATGACGTATATGCTTTGGTGTTTTTGAAAATCATCGATCACATATTATAATATTACTAGTAGAATTAAAAACATGACTCTAACGACAACCTGATATACCAAATAAAGATTACTTGTGTGACAACAATGATACCAGAATATAGTGCATAAATACACAACCTTCCAGTTTTTTACGTACAATAAAAATAGTTTGGCAAACTCCGAGAATTTACATGTTGCACCCTGACGGATTGGTAACCTGTGCATTCCTAAGTTTTGTGTATGCCCACTCAGCAACCATGAAATTTGATATAGAAAGATAGAAAGAGAAGGAAACAACAACAAAAAAACATTTGAGTGTAAATATCAAATAATGCCATATATCGCTAACTTATTAAAAAAGGGTATACCCAGTGCAGAGAGCTCCCGCTCTGTGCGGGGTCTAGGGAAGGGTGTCAATAGCAAGCCTTACCCTCGCATGTGCAATGCGAGGAGACCGCGACTCGAACCCGGGACCTTCCAGTCACAGGGTAAGACTCTACTGCTAACTCATTAATAAATAAAATAAAATATTATGCTCGGCAAGAGTATTCAATAGAAACGGTACTATATCTTGCACTTCAGCAAAGCTTATCAGCCATAGCATAAAAGATCTGCAGCTTAAGAAGGAAGAAAGCGTACATGTATGCTTGCCAGTAACACATCTATAGTCCTTCAGCCGGCTGAGAAATCTTGGCCAGCAGATTTTTGCAGTCCTTGAGCCGGCAATGGCAGAACCACATCTGCAGTTGCTTATCTGTGAGCCCCAACTGCAAGGACAGCTCGGCCTGCATCATCTCGTTTGGATATGAATCCTCTGCACAACACAATGCAAACAAAAATCCCCATTTAAACCACATGTCAGCACAAATACTCGCAAAACAAACCCGAAACATTCCAAATGATCAAATACTTTGTTAAAAGACTCTGTCAAAGTACTGTAAACATGTCTCTGAGTGGTCTTATAATTGCAATATTCAAGTTCACATAACTGACAAAAATATATTTTGAACTATGTTACGTTAAAAGACCCAGAAACAATTAGAAGAGAAAGTAAACCTTTTCATGCAGCTGCTCTGTTATTTCAACTTTATAATATGGAAGATTCTCTAAGAAAAGTAAACCCTACAATTAATTTTAGTGCCCTCTCCACCCTATCAGATAATTATTGCATCAGAGAACCATTCATTCAACAGAAGCAACCAATGTTTTTATATGATGGGCAAATAGTATGTCATGAAATATGAACACATTAATTGCTTAACTGATGGAAGGAAAATAAAATGAGGTTGACTCAAACCTGTCCCTGCCTCTTGTATCCCTGTACCTGCAGCCACCATCCATGCGTACATGTAGTCTCCTAGTGCCGAAATTGAATACAGCACATTGGCATCATCAACATGCTAAAATAAGATGAAGAAGCCCAACAACCGTAACCCAAATGGGCATAACAACAATCTATATCCCAACCTTAACGAAATGAGATTTAAAAAAAAAAATGAAACTGAATATATCAATCAATAATCAAACATATGGAATCATCTAACTTAGGCAGTGACAAGTACATGAACCTTACAAAATATATGCCGTAAAAAGATTCATCTCAGTCCATAGCTTCTTTTCACCAATTCTGTACAGATCTGAGGGGCTTCAATTTATCTAGCAGAGTAGCAGTGTACCATAATATAGACGGCCGAAAGCCTTTACCCCGAGTAGGCAGTAGCAAACGAATTATTAGCATCTTCCATCACTGAGAAATCAATACCAAAATTAATGAAACAAAAAAATAAAACAAGATCAAGGTCAATCGGAAGGGAAAAAAAGAGAAGCCTGGCTGGCTACGCTCTGGATCAGCTTCGGCGGTGGACGTATAGGAACAAACCGTAGGTGGGGGAGGTACTGAGCCGGACCGCCATCGCCAAAACCGCGTATGCCTCCTCCTGGGGTCATGGGCCATCGCCACCGTCCGTCGCAGATCTCGGTGTGGGAGGGCGCCAGCGTATGGATGGAGAGAGAGATGAGCGGGGATCACCGCGCCAAGTCTTGGGTGAAGGCGAGATCATGGTGTCGGCGCAGGTGTGGCTTGGGCGAGGGCATGCAGGCAAAAGCGGATCGGCGGCCAGCGTTGGGAAGGAGCCCACGTACAAGGTGGAGTCGGTGGCGACGGACATTTTTTTTTGAGAGAATAAAATTGACCTTGAGGTGGGAGGGCCGCGGGAGGGCGACGGAGGGCAGACACACTAAACATGAGCCGTCAGATTTGGATGAGTAATGAGAGAGAATGGCTAAGAGATAATCTGGTGCATCTATTTTGATGGTGTTATATTTTCTGGGTGCATTCATGGGTATGGATGTAGTATAGGTCATGACTGTGGAGCAGGAATTTGTTGTGTGGCTATAGTTTTATTCTAACTAGTGTATTATAGGGTAGGGTAGATAAATTCGTCTCGCGGATTACCGATAAATTCTGTAATTTATTTTTTTATTAATATCCGAACACCTAATGTATAGGAACGAGGTAGGACGCGAACGCATGAGCTTCTAGTGAAGGATAATTAGTATCGGATATGAATGCGCGAGCAGGGATCGAGATTTGGTATCACCAGATATATGATGATGTTACTCCCTCCATCCACATAAGAATGCAATTATGGGATGATGTGAGTCAAACTGGTTTATCTTTGACCGAATTTATAGTGAATAGTATTAACATTTATGTCTTCAACTAAATTTATTACAAAAAAAAATATTTTTTTAATCAATTTAATGGTACTTACTATTTTGTATTATAACTGTTAGAAAAATTTTACATAATTTTGGTCAAACTTTAAATTATCCAACTTCTCAAAAAACAAGAATTACATTCTTTTGTCGAGAGAGGGAGTACAATCTTTTTAGGTGTAGAGATATCTATCTCTATATCTGTATATGTATTTGTATCTATATTTGTATCTATATTTTTTAATCATAAACTCCAATAGTTTTCTATCTCAACATGTTAGCTATTCACATCAATGCCCACTAGCACATGCAATTATGAAATCTATTCATATAAGCTATTCACGTCAACAAGCTACATCATCCAGTAACATGCATTTATTTGCCCATATCACCATACCACACCATCTAAAATTTATTTATAATAATTTGTCCCTTGATGCAAGTAAATGTAAATCGTCTAATTTTATTACGAATATCCAAGATTCCTGCACCAACGCGTCAGGTATTATAAGAAAAGCATGATGTTAGCACTTACAAAGAACCTTGTTTGAGTATGGCTCAAGTTTGGAAACACAAAAATCTTATGTTTTTCCTAAAGATAATTGTATATTCTTGTAAAATCATTAGAAGTGGTGGTGTCAGACTACCATAGAATAAGGCAGGTAATTTTCCGTTTTGATGGAATACTCTACCATCACGTTAAACCTAGCCTTCTGAACAAATTAAATAATATGTAAATAACTAAGTGTAGCGTAGCCGTTTGGATTACTTATGATAAAACTTGTCCACCCAAACTTAAGTCTTCAATTGACGTGGGTACTCACGTTTTTTCTATATTTATTTTAGGATACAATGGTGTTATTCTTTCAGTGATATGTGATGTGCCTGTCAACAGCGTACAGCCGAACACTTGTGGTGACTTCACTAATCTCAAGATCTATCAATTCAATCTCAGTCTTTCAGAGATGCTCAGAGAGTAAGATATGTATGCGTACATTTATAAGGCCAAATATGTGTGTATGTACAACTGT